CGAGCTACTACCGCTAGTTCCAAGACTGCATGAATTTAAACGTGCTACTAGGCTGGCATCACGGTCCCATCCTTTCACTGTCGAAACGGTTAAATGTGGCCGTCTTTTCTACTCCCTCCCTCTTTTTTGCTTCCCTGATAGCTATAATCTCCAACTATTCAAATGTAATGTCAATCAATATCACCAGATGTCCTGAACTATCCCCTGCTCTTCTCTTCGTCCTTTTCTCCATCACACCTCTTTACTCTCGCTCCCACTCTGTAACCCCCTGCGTACAAGTGGCATCCCGCCTTGCTTGGGGTGAAATGCTTTAAAAAATAATAATGCGCATATACCTATATTTGTAGTGCAGCTTAAAGTTTCGTGGTTTCCGAAGTCGTCAGGCACATATGTCAATTGAACCGCTTATTACAGTTGTATTTTTTTTAATACTGGGTCGCATTGGAGGAATGCTAATAGAAGTTCTTGCGCATGTTTTCCCGATTCTACCCCAGCCAATATTGATTATTTCGTCAACAATTTCAAGTTCAAGATAAAGAAATATTTCACAACGCATCAATCCAATACTACCCCCCCAAAAAAAAAAAACTTCTTTTTACAATCGAATATACACAATACCTGATAGGTGGCACCAAATAAGAAAGACATGTTAAAATAATGGTATGAGGAGCTGACGAGAAGTAAAGGATTTGACAGAAAGTAAAGAAAATACTGTAAAATCTATCATCATGCGAATACGCCATTTTCATCGCGTACAGAAAATTCTATTAAAATATTTATTTTTCACTTTAACAAATTAAAATCGAGAAAAACTACATAAATAATCATCTGATTGCAATTTCTGCCGGCCAAAACTGGCAATCTTCCCCAAAATCAATTTTTCACTAAAATTAATCAGAATTATGGAGAAGGGGATTTTTGGCAGTCTTGGAGATTATCCCAATACAGCAGAATACGCGGAGGCGTGCGGGAACAAAGAATAAAATATCTACATATCTATCTCACAGTGTTCGAATGTATGTATGTATGTATATATGTATGAATATATATGTATGTATGCATGTATGCTTGCATGTATCTATCTATATCTATCTCTCATTCTCTTCATATCGCAATCTGTTCATCTATCTATCTATCTATCTATCTATCATTCGTGCTCTTCATATATTAATGTGTTCATATCTATCTATCTATCTATCTGTTCATATCTCAGTCTATTCTATCTATCTATCAATCATCTTCATATTTCAATCTGTTCATGTCTCTCTCTCTATCTATTTATCTATCTATCATTCTCTTCACATATTAATCTGTTCATATCTATCTATCTATCTATCTATCTATCTATCTATCTATCACTAATTATCTTCATATTTCAATCCGTTCATCTCTCTATATATTTATCTATCATTCATTCTCTTCATATATTAATCAGTTCATCTCTCTATCTATCTATAATTCTGTTCATATCTATCTATCTATCTATCTATCTATCTATCTATCTATCTATCTATCTGTTACTATTTAACCTGGAATTTGTTCACTATGTGAAGATGGAAATACGATACGTTATTATATTCTGGAATCAACATGTCAATCTGTCAGTGTTCTGCGGATAATATTCCGATTCTGTCAGTAATGCTTGAATTAATTCCTGGCCACAGAAAATCATTTTCCTTCTGATTTTCAATACAATTCTATAATAAAATTATTAGCAATGCATTTACTTTGTACATATAATAACGCTATTCTGTCAGTAATCCTTGCCTGAATTCCTGGCCATTGATAAGGCTTATCATCCACATCGGTAAGATCAGCAGACCTGTCTTGCACGGTTTTGGATACGATGGGATGAGGGCTGACTCGTTCATTAGGCCTCCTTTAACGCTTGCTATGTTGCGTTAACGGGTGTAAGAAACAGGGTTATTTATTTCAAGTTGCTATTTACCATCTGTGCGATAGTATGCATGCAAGAGTAGTGTCTGATTTGGTTGGCTTTATTTTGTTTTACGGTATATCAACCTCAATTGGTTATTTAATGCCGACAAAATTCTTTATTGCTGGTAATATTTTGTTTTGTCAAAAATCTATTTCTGGTAATATATTTCCTTCAAAATTGTTTTGCTGGTAATAATATTTTTTTCAAAAAGCATTGCTGGTGATAGTTAACTATTTGTCCATAGCTGGGACCCTAACAGGTGCTACCACCCCGGGGCAGGGTCGACCTGGGAACACCAGCAATTAAGAGGTGATACCACGCTCCTCAAAACCTACTGATCAGAGGCCTTGCTGCTGGATGTAGTTTAATGTCTTAATTTCAATCTTTCCATTTTTCTATCCATCTATTTATATATCTGTTATTCATTCTCTTCATATATTAATCTGTTCATCTCTCTCTCTCTCTCTCTAGCATTTTGTTCATATCTATCTATCTATCTATCTATCTATCTATCTATCTATCTATCTATCTATCACTCATTATCTTACCCAGGACGCGGATGTAGTTTAACGTCTTACCCAGGACGAAGTAGTGTCTGGTGTTCAATCTCAAGGAGTATATATGTTTATTAGGAGATTCTTCTTCTTCTTTTGTATGGCGATTCCATTAAGGGTGTGAGCGATCACTGTTCTCCACAACTTCCTTTATTATATACCTCTTAGCAATGTTTGTCTTTTTCCAATCTTATTCCTTTTTATGCTAGCTATTTATAGAATATTTTTAAGTCTCCCCCTTGATTTCAATATGTCCCCTGAGTGTCAAATTCACCAAGTGATTTTCTCATTATGAGCGATACAGATTTCAACTGCCTCTTTCTGATTTTATGAACAAGCGTCTGTGGAATCTTCCACGTCAGCGAGTTACACCCCTGCATGGATAAATAAACTATTCTCTGTAAGTGAATATATGACAAGCATTCGTTGATTAATCACCTTCAATCTAGCTCGCTGATTGATCAGTTCCGACTAATCAAATCGCCTGCACGCGACAAAACTGTTTTCCCGCGTTTTCCATCTGAGCCAGACACGTGATTCACGATCATATATTAAAAAAAAAAAAAACACGAGTGATTCTCTCTCTCTCGCGTCTCATTCCTTGCTGCCAGGATGTAATCTTCAAGAACTCCCGTCTTAACTAATGCAGTCAGACGTTAAAGACCATTACCAACATTCACGCAAGTACGAACTCTGAAATCTCTTCTGAACTTTTACCAACTTGTACAATACACAATTCCAAACATGCTAAAGAAACTTTGTTCTTCTAAACTACAGCTTAATAATTACTTTCACTTTATGAGCTTAGTTACAAATATTACCTAGTCTAAGAGACACAACTCTGTCTAACTTTTCAGTACACATGCATGTATATCAAATACTTAATAAATTCAATTGTTACGTTTTGAAACAAGATGTTTTTGACTCATTATTCTATGACTTGTATTAATTATTGTGGATGGAAGATAGTTGAACATACACTATTTTAAGCCTTCTGATAATTCAAATCTTCTATTCCTCTCCAACACACATCACACATCCGCAACACGTCCATTTCATTTAACATTTCTTAGTTATTCGCATATTACGATAATGATATCCTTTTGTTGAAGGCCATTTCTGTGACCTGAAGCGTCTCTTTCAGCTGTGAGGTGATTGTCCAGCATTCACTGCCTTATCGGAGGAATGATATTACGTAACAGTCCAGCAATCTTCTTTTTTTTTGTTTCTAACATAATTTTCCGGTTTCTTAATAATTTGCTTAGATTTTGGAAGACATCTTTCTCTAGAGTTCAGTTTCCCATGTTTTGTCTTTTGTTAAAACACCTACGAGATATTTTAATTTTCGTACTTGTTTGATTTATAACTTAATATATTTGGCTCTTACTTATGCTGACAACGACACATTGTTTTTTTTGACATCATAAACACCCCCACAAACTATGCGTTAATTAGCAGAACTTGTATCACTAAAAAATATTATTACCCCCACCAATATTAGTAGAACTTGTATCACTAAAAATTATTATTGCCCCCCCCCCACCAAAATTAGTAGAACTTATATCACTAAAAATTATTATTACCCCATGAAATTAGTAGAACTTGTATCACTAAAAATTATTATTACCACCACCAAAATTCTTACAATTTAAAAATATTTTCTGGCTTTAAAATTGTTGATTTCCCAATGTGGGAGGGAATGTATATTTATTTTGCATTTTTAAATACAAAATTCTGGCACAAGACAACAAAGTCGCTAAACAGCACACGAGTATCAACATCGGAAAGTGTGTCTCCTGGATCGCAGCCACATCTACACCGAAGGACAAGAGATCACGAAGCATGGCGGCAGCCTTACTTAAATCCGCCAAGCTCCTCGCATTCAAACTAGCTAGCTTAATAGACATCTTTTAAAGCCTAGTTTCCTTAAACAGAGACTGAACGGAACGCTGTGGGGTCAAGACCCTGACGGATTGTTCCAGACTCCCGGTACGATATCGGACGTAATTCGTCATTCTGAGACAATGCCGCCGACGTCTGCGGGGGAAAGTTAATTTTAATGTTCTAAATAAGGATGGGTGGAGGAAAACCGGGACCCTCCCAGAGCAAAACTGAACAAGTCTTTTGAGCCCGGATACTCAATTTGGGCCATCCGGGGCTTTTGGGAACGCATCTTTGGCGCTTACCAGATGTTCCAAACCTCAAGGTTACCTGCGGTGTTTCTAATGAGGGTGATCACACAGAGGGCACCAAGACAATTACTTGAAGCCTCCGTTGACGGGATGCCAACGGAAGATCGAAGCGTTACGCACATAAAAATCAAGGGGGCTGCAACCTGAGGAGATAGATGGTCATATATACCGGGTGATGTGGTCGCAGAAATTGTCTGACAGCCATAATTGGGCTCTGCTGCTTGTGTGGCATGTTTCAGAATCCTGTTGCCAGGTATAGTGGTAGCAGCAAACCTCTTTACCCAGGGTTGCATTATCTTCTGAAAGAACTTGATGTAGCCCTCTGTTTTGAGTGTGAGGCCCTCACCAACAAATTTGTTTTTGTCGGCACGATCAGAGTGAGTTTTCTAAGCTGTTGTATCTTCGTAATCACCATTAGACTCATCCAAATTTTGCTCTTCAAAATCCTGAGATTGACACCCAAATACTCTGAAATGTTCCTATTGGCGCAAATGCCAAGCAGTACAGCATGCCGTTTCCAAATTTCTGGAGAAGTGAACTGCGTCATGGTGTTTTTTTTTTTCACTGACGGTGTCAAGCTGACCCTAATAGAAATTGCCGTCGACCAAATTAAAAACAAACAGCGCGCATGTGTAAAATTAAAAATATAGAATAGCGACAATTTGCCCATCTCTCCCTGAATACACACACACCCCACACACACACACACACACACATATATATATATATATATATAGTTTATGAAAAACTAGGTACTCTGTATGGGTAAACCTAAGGAGGATAAAATCCAGAGAACTCAATGTAAATCCAGAGCAAATAATTGAAATAAAAACAGACCACTTTAAGGTTCCATGTAATAAATTATTTCACCACAGCCCTTTTAAAGGACAGCGGATCATCAGACTTTACTGCCAAACAAAAAATAAAAATAAAATTTACACATTTTTGACGGGCCGTATTAAACATATGTAAATTAACGAAGTGAGGAAGTGAGGGGGGAGATAGAAGACATGAGTGAGTTAGCAGATATTGACACATTTAAACGGTTAACTTAACGGAAGTTATATATTGATATCGAAGGGGTAGAGAAGAAAAAACTCATAGAGAGAAAAAGAGAGAAGAAAGTTAAGAGAGAAGAGAAGAGAAGATGTCACTAATTTTCTTTGTAAAAAAGCTAGAAACAGACGCTGTCATTTTGCTTTACTTTGAAAGTGTTATTTTGGGGGTTGATAAAGATTATAATGTTTGATATAAATTTGAATGTCTCTAGACTGTCTGCCAATAATTTAATTTGATGTTTGTTAGTGATTTAAATTTTTATGAAATAGTCGATTAGAAAAATATTCATAGAAAGTACAAAATTTTATTTTAAAATATAAGTTTACTTCTAGTAATCTTTTTTAAAAACTTATAAAAAATGTTTTTATTGATTATTAAGTTGACATCTCTATCCGTTTGAATTTTCTTCATGAATTTGACTCGTGACTGTTTCTAGATAGGTAATCTCTTTTACTTAAATTTTAGTTAATATGGGGTAATATTTGAAGGTAATATTAAAGATCTTGTTCTGTCATATACTGTATACACACCCATGCAAATATCACATATACACACATTCCTTTACATATTCAATCACTCATACAGTTACCCATGTGCCGAAATACACAGGTAACTTCATGTATTAACATCTACCTAAATATCAAAAATTTTTCCAATTTAAATATTTTATCATCAGTAATGATTATTAAAGGGTAATATATTTCAATTTAAATTAAATTATCAATTTAAAATTTTTTTCTCCCTATTATAAAGAATTTTAAAGTCACACTTCCAATTTGAGAATATTAAATGAGAAAATGAGATAAAACTTTAATAACAGGACTGTAAGTCCTTCTTTTATAATATTCTATGTATCCATAAATATACATCTACACACATATCCGTACATATACACACATACATATCCATATCCATATATATATATACATATATTCACATACACACACACACATATATATATATATATATGTGTGTATGTATATGCTCATACATACACACATTCACATATAGATATACATACACATACATACACATTTACATATACATATATTCACATATACACACACATGTATATATGTGTGTGTATGTATACACACATGCATACGTACACATCTACATATACATATATTCACATATACACACACACATATATATATATATATACATGTATATGTATATACACATACATACACACATTCACATATAGATATACACACACACATACATACATACACATTTACATATACCCACACATATATCCACATATATACACACACATATATACACATACAATTACACATATATACCCACATATATACACTCATATATATATATATATATATATTTACACATATACACATACATATACACATATATATATATATATACATATACACACACATATATACACATATACACATACAGACAAATATATATATACATATATACACCCACATGTGCGTGCATGCAAAACATATCAAAACCCATACTTAATTACCTTAATATATCTATATTCTACCATATCATATATATGAACTCACAACTACTTATATTTATACATACATACATACATTATCTATGGAACTACATACATGTACCCATCTATATATACACACCCATACCCACACATACATATATAGAAATTATAAAAAATTGTATACATACACATCCACACATATACATGTACCCACATACTCACCCATACACATATATACACCCATATATACATATAACTACATATAAAAAAAAACAGCTC